ATGTCAGCCAACCGAAGTTTCGGTCAAAATCGGCTCCACAGTCACCGTCACCTGTTTCAGCATGACGTCTACAAGCTTTTTTCATATATTTGTGAACGTGAACACCTTGGGAAGACCTCCGATTCAAGATAACACAACAAGGATCTCAGCATGAAATTTCAGAAGAAATAAATGAAATGTGTAAGTAAAGAATATTTATTAATATTCAAACACGACATATATGTCATCCTTCCTACACGGACCTATTACAGTTATACAAATATTTAATCAGTTATTTTCTCCGAAATACAAATAGGCTAAGTGTTACAGTTACTGTCAGTTTCTGCCAAACATTGAACTAACCTCTTATGCAACAGCAATGAGAAGTTCCTATTACAAACACATTTCTCTTATCATATAAAACATAGCTGATAGTAAGCAGTTTTGCTTCTAGTACATGTCACTTTCACAAAATAATTTGCAGACGGAGTTTTGATGCAGCTTAAGGTCGTGTGAATCCTGTTGAATTCTGTGTGACAGAATCAACAGGCTGTTTGCGCCCAAACTTTTCTTTGAACGAACACAAATCCCTTTATTCCCTCTAAAGAAACTGCTCGTGATCTATGCCGGACTGAAAGCAGCATTATTCGGTATACGTATTTGTTGCTTCAGTTGCTACTCTACATTCGTGGATAACTCGTAACATTTTATTATATACTACTCTGAATAGTAACTATCTGAAACCGTTTAATAATTAAGAAGTTAAATCAAATACAAGTGACAGGTGGTTTTACCGTGCGAGAAATAAGATAAATTTGCCATTGACACTTCGCTACATCTAAAACTTTTCTAAACTCATTTAAATGAAAAGCAGCGATTTGTCAGTCAAAGCTGGTGAATGCGAACAGGGAGAGTGTCAGTTCTTCAGCTCTCGAATCTGTCCTTTACACTGTACCTACCACTCAAGATCAAAATCTCCGGGAAATTGTACATTGAAGGTGAAAGTAAATATTTATTACGAGTCACAAACCAACAAATGGGAATTCATACATATTAGAAAGGAATCTGAATAAGCATAATGCTCCTGAATTAGTACAATTCGTTTCGGTACTGAATATTCAATATTGGAATGTTTAATACAATCCCTTCACTTCTTTACATCAATATTATTTATTTTATTTATTTCATCTTACATGAAAAAAATACAATGCAAGAACTTACTTACGTAAAAGAAATATACTACATGCAAGGCAAAGAATTACAATTGGAACGAACTTTACGAGGCAAAATAAACTGTTTTCAAACTCCGTACTCTTGTGCAGCAAAAGGTAGGTTCACGTCTTTTCAGGGGCCGCCAGCACGACAGGTTTCCGCACAAGGCAGGAAACGTGCGCTGTTTCCGCGCAGGAAACAAGGAAAGCACCGCGCGACCCTGCGAGAGGCGGGGCGGGGCTGTACGGGTCGGGCGGGGGTAACGGGGGAGGGGCAGGGGAAACGGGACGGGCGGGAGCGGGGCGGGAAGAGGGGGTGGGGCTTGGGCGGGGCGGAACGGCGCTGTCCTAGCACGCGGATGTCCTGACCCGCTGCGTCCCGGCTGCGGCTCGCGGCGGCTTTCCCGCGCTGCGTGCGGTGCCCACGCACACAAGCGTAGAGCACGGCACGCACCGCGGGCGGGCGGGCGGCGACGTCGCCAGCGGCCGGCGCACGCGCGATGAGGCGGCGGCCGGAACGGCACTCAGCCCGCGCCGCCGGCCCTCGCTGAACACGGGCGAGAATTCACACAATTAGCCAGAGGAGGTAATTAAGATAAAATTACATGCGGTTGCACGCTCTTCCTAAAGTCTCTGGATGACAACGACCCCGGCTGAGCTGAAATATAACGTAGACATGAAGAGGTCGGGGAAGATAGAGCTCACACCAGGTCTTAATTTTTACCAGCCAGAAGAAATACATTTTCTTTTTCTTTTGTAAATTCATACGAGTGTTGACTTCTATATATACTTCTTGCTTCTCTGTAGTTCTATGAGCACCGCAATCAGATCATAATGTCTGTTTTTATGAGATACTATAATATATAGATTTCGTATTTAGGAAATAAGGGTTTGCAGTATTTTACCACGACGTCAATGCCTCTTTAAATAAATTACGATGTGATGATTATTCGTGAATTAGAATAGATTTGTGTAACGGATAAGGAACACACCAAAACAGTTTATATCTGTTTTTGAGCTTAAATAATTTTGAATCAATTGCCATCAATTTTTAAATGAACGAATGGGATCATAACAATATGAGGAAAAGGTAGAATCTTGCCCTTTGAGTGGACGTACTATTGATCAGCTGGCCCGGCATTGAGCTAGAGAAGAAATGTCACCGAAAGGATGTTAAAAGACCAACACTATAAAATTCAATTCAGCTGTATTTAAGCCAATACACTCTGAATTGAGGTGCGTACTAATTCAGTTTTTGAATTCGCACTAATGCAGTCCAGAATAAACTTTTAAATGTGCTGTGCTATTTCAATCCAGTATAGACATATATTCAAGTGTACTCTGTTCAAAAGTTTAAAAATTTATTGAGAGAAGTTCAGGTAAAACCCTCATTATCTCATAACTACGTCAATGTGGGATAGCCCACTTTGTTCTACTGAGCCCTTCTTTTTTCTCTTTTCTGTAAACTTTTTTCTCTGAAATAATCTAGGCTTAGGTCTATGAGCATATACTCGTAACGTAGTGTTACTCGTGTGCCTGTCGACAACCGAGCGGATGGAAGCTGGTTGTTCGCCGCGCAAACGTTTCCTTCTTGGCGATCTGCCCCCCGAAACGAACCCCCCTGCCCCCTGAACCGTGAGAGCACGAACGAATTTTCTTTACCTCAACTGGTGACAAAAACAAAGAAACACTTCAGCGAAATCCATTTCAAATTAGAGGCTGATTTACGTAGCATTAGTCTAATAAAAATAATATGCAAACCCTGCAATGACAAACACGTTTAAAAATAAAGATAAAGGTAATATTTATGTTGTCTTAATAACAAGTTCAGACGAAGAAATGCTGATTCAATTGTACAATTATTTTTATGAGTAAAGAATATATGTAAAGTAGCTAGCTGTATTGATTTTATCAGTGATATTTAAAGTATAACCGGCCAACGTTTTATGGCTAGGAACCCCACAACATTAGGAGCTGACAATGGCAGATCAGGCCCATCTGGGACTGGTGCGAGAGTGCTGGAGTACATAGAAGACGGCGATGGGCTGAGCAGGCTGCGGGCGGGGAGTGTGGGAATGAGATTAAGGGTGTAGGTCGTGAGTGTTCGGGTGAGCTATTTGGCATAAGCGGAGGGGCAGAGGGAGCAGAACAGGCGGCGGAGGCCGGGGAGGAATTGAACAGACGAACGTGGACGGAAGTGCGAGGCAGGTGTGAGCAAATGGCTTTGCGTGGGCGTGCATGACCAGACGGCAGTGCGAGGGGGCGTTCGCGGACGAGCGTGAGCGTTCGCGTGTGAGTTAACATAGTCGGATGATTATGGGTGGGCGAGGACAAATGGCCATGGACGGGCAGGCGTGGACGGGTCAGCGGGCGTGGGTGAACGGACGAGGAGAAACGGGCTTGGAAGGGAATGTGCGAAGAAGCATGGACGTAGGCGTGCAACTGGATGGTTGCAGGTAGGAGTGAACGCGCAGGCGTGGATGCGAGCGAGCGGGCGAGCGTGGACGAGTAAACGTAGACGTGCGGGTGTGGTCGGAAGGACATGGACGGGCAAGCGTGATCGGGCGGATTTGATCGGGTGGGCGTGGTCAGGTTATCGTGGTCGGGAGGGCGTGGGTGGACGGACGTGGGCGTACCGACGTGGACAGATAGATGAGGAAGGGCGGGTGTAGACGGGCGTGCTTGGACGGGCGTGCGTGGTCAGGCAGGCGTGGACGGACGGGCGTGGACGGACGGGCGTGGACGGACGGGCGTGGACGGACGGGCGTGGACGGAACGGTACGGCGTGACGGCGTGACGGGACGCGGGCGTCAGCGGGCGTGCGGTGGATGGCATGGACGGGGCATGGCACGTCCGCTGCGCAATGGCGGACGTCGTGAACGACAGAGTGCGAGTGCCTGCGTAACGGTCCGAAACCTGGGCGTACGCTGGCGCGGGCGCTCAGAAGGTCGTTGTGCGGCTCGGGCGCGGGCTTGGCGCGGGCGCCGTGCGCGCCGCCCACCAGGGCCAGGCCGTCCGCGCCCAGCGCCAGCTCCTCCTCCTCGTCCTCGTCCTCCTCCTCCGATCCCAGCAGCTCCGAGCCCTCGCCGTCCAGCAGCAGGTCCGAGTCCGAGTCCAGCGAGTCGTCCTCCTCGTCGGCCGGGCCCGCCATGCTGCCGAACACGCGCCGCTGCTGCACGCCGGCCGACGCGCGCCGCATCACTGCAACACCCGCGCCGCGCTCCGCATTGCACACACTCGGCAACGATGCAGGCCGTAGTTATAACGGACAAGAATTGATGTTATGATTGTAATTACTCTTAATAACATTATACACATTTTTGAAGGGTTCATTAGAACAAGGGGCTATTCCACTTTTTTGTGAAATTTAGTTAATAGTATTATACGAAACTTCAAATATTATTCGTTTTGTGTAATATACTATTTAATTCCAGTATAGACTTATATCCAATTGTACTGTGTTCAAAAGTTTAAAAATGTATTGAGGTAAATTCAGGTAAAACCCTCATTTTATCATAACTATGTCAAGGTGGGATAGCCCACCTTGTTTTATTGAGCCCTTCATTTTTCTCTTTTCTTCAAACTTTTTTCTGTCAAATAATCTAATATGCTTAGGGCTATGATCATGTACTCGTAACCTTACATGCGAAATCACTAAGATATCGTCAAAGATTGTTTGGTGCCCAATAAATGATTTAAATGTGTAGTTTATAGACGACATGATTTCGATGGGTTTTCAAAGACCGTAAATCGGAGAAGTAATATTGATATTACTGTTTGGAAAATTCATCGGCCTCTGGGGGATTCGAATTAACCACCTGAAACTTTTGAAATATTTCGTAAAATACTATCACGCCTGCTCTTCCGTTTTAACACGTCAGATAGGTATATATCAACTCGTGGGGGTTAATAAACGCGTTTATGTCCCTGGCGACTGGTTAGCTTTCGTACAATGCAGTAATTAAATTACAGTGATTTGAAAGTATAAGATATTTTGTTTACAGCATTGTTTTCTTCCTTCCAGTGCCACAGGTACCCTTTGACAGACGATGCGTCATTGTTCTGCTACTCGGAAATCAGAGCAATGCAGTTGGCCTTGCAGAGGTCGCGGCGCCTTGAACTGCAGGCGAGGAACTATGCAACCCGTGTGGCGGGCGTGGCATGAGGCGCTTTGTGGCCTAACTAGCGAACTCTGTCGAGGCCGCAGTGGCGCACGAATAAGCAAAACCTTTCGGATGGGCCTTCACTTTGATTCGTTATAGCACTTTAGTATACGTAAAAATGGGGAGTGCCGCCAAATGTGGTTGGGCCTTACTTCAGACGTCATTAAAGATGGCGGGAAAATCATAATTTTGATACCAGTATCTCTGAAACCCTTTGTTCCTTTTTCTTATAATATTAATTGGAATCCTTTAAGAAATGTCCTGGCAAACATTTGAAATCTTGTGCCAATTTTGAGTTAAAGTGAATTTTTTAACAAAAGTCAAAGGTTGGGCTAGAGGCTGGAAAAGGGCACTTCAAGACAATTTTGCCATCGGCCATCTTGGATTTTGTTTGTCAAGTTCTACATATATCAAAAGAACTTTTGAGAGATTGTACCTTTACAGGTGAAATAGTTTTTGAGATAAGGCGGTTAGTTTAACCCACCCCTGTATTGAACTTTGATTTTTTCGTTAACATCAATTATTTTAATGGCAAACTTTTTGACACCAAGTAAATGTATAGCTAACTGCAAAAAAGGGTAGCATGAGTAGAATATCAGAAACTGACTGCTCTGATGGAATATTTTGTAATGTTACCTCCGATTCACGACAGGTGTATGCTGAACGAGGGAGTGCCTCATAAACTCGCCTTGCGATTCTCGCAACGCAATTCTTCCTTCACTGTGCCATTTCATTATCTTTCTCGAACCAAGTGTTTTACTGTTTCCCATCAATTTTTCTTTCATTACCTTGCCCACTTTCCATCAGAGCAAGAGTCAAGTTTTCATTTGTACTTTGCATGTTTTAGAAGTGGATAACACGGTGTGCCAAAACTAGTATCTAATTCCAAGTCTAGTTAGATCACTAACTATAAACGTAAAATGTCGCAGCACTAGCTTAAAATTATTTTAATGCGCACTAAATGACAATTTAGTGGGGAGCAGAAAAGGAGTTACGAGAACATGTGGGGTTTAACAATGGTGTTCTTTTATAGGACACTTTTTGGGGTGAAATATATGGGGCCTATTTATTACTACAAGGTAGGTACTAATTTTCTTTTTTGTTGTTAATTTTTTCATTTTATTTTCATTTAACAGCGTGCTTTTGTCGTTTTGTCTTAGTCTGGTCAGTATTTTAAGTCAGTTTTTGTAATTTTGTTTCAGTCTGGTGAGTATTGCAAGTAACCTTTAAGTAAGTTTGCAGTAAGTATTTCGAAGTGGTTGTACGTTAGTGGGTGAGCAGTGTTATTAAGTCCGAGGTGGTAGGAGTTGGAGTAGGTCGAGTGGATTGTGATGTTTTTTATGGATGGGTGGGTTGTTGAGGATATGGGCGTGAGGAGCAAGGAAAGGGGTAAATTTTGGGTTGTTAAGTGCTTTCGTCAAACGAGTCTTTGCATTGTTGTATATTTCAGTTCGAATTAGTGTCAGTCTGATTTTCGCCTTGATCTAGGCGTTTCCGCTAAGGGCAGTAGGAGGTCGACAGGCGAATCGGATGAAGCGGTTGTCAACTTTTTAAACGCTAATGTAGTTCATAGGCGTAGCAGCAGCCCAGGTCTCGCATCCTTAAAGTCGGTTTAACGTACGTATTTTAGATGCAATTCTTTGTCTTGTCTAGTTTTGGATGGGAGACAACGGGTGTCAATGCACTGATTTCTCGATGAGCTTTTTTGGTAATATCTTTTACATGGTTTGTCCAGTATAGCCGTCGGTCGAGAGACAGTCCCAAGTATTTCACTGTCTGTGTCCATGGGATGAGGATGTTAATAGTAATGGGGAAAGTCATGATTTGTTCCTAAAGTGGAGAAAATTATTATAACGCATATTGCCGGATTGATTTTTAAAAGGTTGTCCGTGGCCCATTGTGTCAGTAAGTCGGCGTTACGTTGTAGTGCGAACGTGCTATTTGCAATAATATGAATGGCATTTCTTGTATTGCAGAGATTAAAGATTGACTAATTTAGAGGGTTAACATTCGTAGTCACATCGTTAATAGGAGCAAAGAGAGTCTATCAGATTCAAATAGTTTGAGAGGAAAGGCTCTACGCTTTCGTTTTTTTTGAGGGATAAGCATTTAGCTAGATCCGATTTTTTCCCCCAGGGTTATTAGCCCTGGGAGTATGGAATATGAAATGACGATGATAGCGAGGGGTGAAAGGACGACACACACAAACAGACCCACGTCCGAGACGGAACTCGAGCCCGCGTTCTTCTGGTTCGAGACCGTTACTGCACTACTGCCTTAGCGATCTCGGCCATCTGGTCGGCGGTGTACGCTTTATTATTGGAATAATTTCATTAATTTATTAGTGGCCTACACGTTGCATATCCTTAATAATTTTTGTTTTTTGTATTTTTGTATTCCGCAACCAAATTACTCTTATGTTCCATGTGTTCAGATTGATGCTGGCTCGTGAGCATCGTAGCGGGCGTCATGGTGCTGGCGGCTGTGCGCGGGGCGGAGAGCTCACCTCTGGAGGCAGTCTGGATGCGCACGCGGCTGGCCTTGCCGGCAGGCGTCCCAGGGCTTCGTCGCGCCGCCGCCGCCGCCGCCGACTCCGCCCGCCGCCCGACCGCGTCGCCGCGCCCACCGCGACGCCCGCCGCCGCCGGCCGCCGCCGCCCCCGCGCTGCCGGGGCCCTCGGCCGCCGCCTCCAGCTGGCGCTCGTCCTGCCGCATGGCCTCGAGCAGGCGCCGCGTGGCCGCCTGCCGCTCCGCCATGCGCTCCTGCTCCGCGGCCTCCGCCGCCTCCTGCTGCTGGTCCAGGTACGCCAGGCAGCGCAGGCGCGTCAGGTACGCGCCGTACAGCCCGCGCAGCTCCGCCTCCAGGCGCTCCAGCTCCTCGAGGAACGCCGGCCTGCGGGGGCGGGTTTCGTCGATTCATTAGTGATTCCGGGCGCGTCAACTGCCGAGGTCATGAGTCCTACAAGTGTCTTATCGGGGAGGTGGCGGTGATCCCGCTGGCTGGCGAGATCCGACGCCCAACTACGTCGGCGAGCGGGGATTTTCCCAGAGGTATATCTTTCCCCAACGGGACCCGACACATGCTCTAAGCTGAGAGCGTAGGCTTCCGCGGCCGGAGTCAGTATTTACTTGGCTGTCCGGGTTACGCCCTGAGGAAGGTCGCAGAATGGCGACCGAAACGTCGGCACCTTCGCCATGGGCGCGGCGTCACCCGGTCAGCCAAGTAAATACGAGTACTAAGCTCCCGACATGTCAGATAAGTGTAGTGCATGTGAGTGTGTGTGCAAGTAAGGGGTGAGGATAGGACAAGAAAGAGGAAGGAAAGTTCGCGCGAGGCCATTGGCCCTTTTGCTAGGGTACGGTTCCTTCATTCCCAAGTGTTGATCTGATAACCGCGGAAAACTACCGAGCAGAGCAGCCGGCCTCTAGAATTCTCTCCCAGACAGCGGCTGAATTAGACCTAGCTATCTAATTAGGGTCGAAAATCCTTCCACCGCACTGTCGGGACTCGAACTTCGTGACATCTTGATCAGAAGCACTGTAGTGACATCAGTTGATGCTCTGAGCGAGCTTTGCGGGGCAAGGTCGGGGCGAGGCGTTGGAGGCACCTTGGTTTTTCAATCATTTTAAAAACCTTCAAAGATCCCCAACCCCCAATAATCAGATTAAACATCAGTCACTTTACAAAATCGTAAATTTCGTAAGATACCCCCACAGACATTTTTCACAAACGCCTCGAAGAAAAAAATCCATTTGAGGATCTCATTAAATCCGTCAGTTGAAATGGTGCTAAATGACCTGCGTCTTTCAAGATATCTGTACATCAACAAAGCTCGCTTTCTTGCCACAATGGAGCACCAGCAAAGCTGGCACAAATACCACCGCCGAGAGCCAGGCTCAAGAGCAGTGCTTACTCGTGTTCGAGTGTCTTAGATCGGTAACCTCTCGATATTGGCAAACGCACTCGCCATCAGACGTTTCTCAATATTGTGTCAATTCTGCACCTTTAGAGGTATATGATTCTACGTCTTGGGATATTTCAAAACACGTGTTCTAATTTCAATGATTTCTGAAAGAATTGCGAACTATGGTCAAAAGAAATCAATAACGAAATTAAAAACAGTCAATATGTTATGCCCTATTTCATTTAGAAGTCAAAAAAGTCTTTAAACTGCTCTCTTGAAGAATTAGGTAAATTACATAAACTCATATATCTCCTTGGTACAGAATTGTGAGCTGTGTCAATTGTCGGTTAACTATAAAATTACGTTCCACGTATGCCTCGAGACAGTTTTAGAATGGTATTCCAAATTATTCCAGAATATTTGTGTTTGGAATTGTAAGTGACTTTTAATGGACGACCGATTTGCACGCGGTTATCGGAACCTCGCTTGGCCACCTGAAGTGATGGAAACCGCAAAGTTGTTGGAGGTAAGTTAGCTCAAAATGATTACTGAATTTGCCATTGGATTATGCTATTCATGTAGTTCTGTACATTAAAAGGAAACGAAACAGAATAAGTAATTACAGTATTATTTTTGAATATGTCGACGCTCAGACGGTTATGTCAGTATGTCACTGCATTACCAATATTTATTCACTATTATGGTACAGGTATTTCAGTAGGTAATGCAGAATATTATTATTTTCTGTAACCTTTTTGAAAATTAACAAAACTAACTTTTATGGCGAGTTTGGAAATATTAGTAACCTTCTTATCGTATATATTTTTTAAATTTCCAACGTGTCATTTGCAATACTATTGTAATGCTTCAATCATTAGCAAATCCATTTTTTCCCAGTAATATAGTAATATACTGTTCTCAAGAGCGTCAATAACAAAAAAAAATTAGTGTGTAGAAACTCAATTAAAATTAACTAATCATAAAAAAATCTTATCAATTCATGATAAGTTTTTTGTAGATTGTAGTTTTTAAGTTTAGTAGTTTTCTTCTAGCTGTACAGAACTCTTAAGAAATAGTGAAAACAGTAACTTTTATTTAAAAGCATTTATAAGAGTAAAGTTTTTGCATTACAGCCATAAAATACAGAGTTTAAAAATTATGTTATATGACACAATTAAATTAATTTTCTATGTTTAAGATGTCAGTTAGGTATGAACTGACACATCACTGTCTGAAGATTCACATTTTAAATATTGATTTAGGTAATGAATTCCAAATTTGATTTGCTCCTTGTCTTTTGTGTCCAAATTTGATTTGCTCCTTGTCTTTTGTGTGTTGAGTGTGTTATTGTGGAATGTTTAGATTTGTCACAGTTAAATAGTATTAAATTTAATATCAAAGATAATGAAAAAATATTAACATATAAAATCCACAGAAGACTAAATATACCTTTGTTTCACTTCCCTACTCAAAAAACAATATTAATTTGCAATACAACTTTTTAGGTTATGCGTAATTATGATCAAAGTTTAGTTGTAAGATGATGAGTTGTTGACAGTTCCAATGTTCTGACTGATGTTCAATGCTTCAGTAGTTTTACTTCAGAAAGTCTTTTCTGCTCACCCTTGTGGTAATAGTGATATCCAAATACTATGTTAATATCAGAAAATAAATTTAAGATGTTTTAAAAACTTTATTCTAATGATAATTAAAAATGTTATAAATTTTTAAATTATTATAATACACAAATATTTCTAAAATTTCAGTCACTTTTAGTGTTTGAAATGCTTTTGTTGGGTATAATGAAACATGAGTAATCCCTGTATCTATTCCTTGTTTTGCGACATTTGTTTTATTCTGCACACAGTAGATTCTCACAGCATTTGCTGAATAAGTAAATCTAAGACACTTTTCTTACAATTTTTTGTAACTATCCAACATGTTGTAAACATAATCCATTAACAAATATATAATAGTGTTGAGATACATTGCAATAAAACTAAAATATATTCTTTAAATATACTTTCAATTATGCATACAACAGGAGATTATAAATGCTGATTTTGAGTTTTGATTTTTCAATCTACTCAATTTTTTATTTACTTGGAGAGCAAATCAAAAGAACAACAAAACTTTAGTGAAAATAAGTAGGATGATTAATACAAATATTCAAGGAAAATATTTACTTTTGGATTACTTCTCCATTACTTTCAATCAAACCCTTGACATTTAGGAAGTGATTCGTAGGAATTAAGTAATATTCAAAATGTCAGGTTATAAGAACAATATATATTATAAGAATAATTTAATAAAATATAATAATAATAATAATAATAATAATAATAATAATAATAATAATAATAATAATAATAAATATAATATAATAAGATGAATAATTTTTCACATAAAAAATAATAGAAATTTCATACCTCACTTTCTTCAAAGTTTGTAATCTCTTTTGATTACGATCAAGTTCTAATTTCTTCTTTTCTATTTTATTGTCAAGACTAGCTTCAGTTGCAGCCACATTTTGAGTCATTTCTTGAAGTCTTCGAATTTCAGAACGAATAATATCCATACTCTGATGTAATGCAGATTCTACTTCAGTAATTTCTAATTGTCGATTTACTCTAGCCATTCGAATTTCCTATTGGGTGAAACGAGACAAAGTTTTAAAATACTACCAGATATACATATTTTTCTAAACAAAAATTCAAGAAGTTGAAAACATACCAAGAAGCTTTTTACAGATATCTAAAATCAGTAATACATAATATTTAATATGTAATACTACTGTTATGTTTGAAAGTAAAATTCAAGGAAGTTTAAATAGAAATAAAATATGGAGTTAGAAATATGAGGAAAAATAGACAGTGACCTAAAACTAATACTTTCATTTAAAACAATCTGTGAAAGAGTTGTAAAAACTGATGATCTCGAGAATTTAAAATAGAAACACGATAAAATAATGATGACAGAAAGTTAACCTGAAAAAGAGAATGTTTAAAAAATGTACAACTGAATAAACTGGAGAATTGTGAAATTATGCAGACCTTGAACTCTGAACTCTATATATGTCTCAACTTCAAAAATTATTAAGAAAAAATACTGTACAATATGATATAGAGAGAAATGTTTTGAGAAAATAAATAACATATTATTCTTAAAAAGAAAAAAGAAGGAAAAAAAAAGAATTCTGTTTTTAAAATGATAGCTTGAGGAGACATTGGGTGAAAAGAAGGGAGGAGGGAGACAGGAAAATATATACTGATGGCAATGAAGAAAAGCCTTTGTAATGATAATTTGCTGGGGAAAAAAAAACTGAAATCTAAAATGGAGAGATTTTAATAAAACTAATTTATATTTATTTTGCTTAACACAAAAAGGAATTTCTAAAAATAATTTAAGGGCTTTAGAAGACAAACAAAGTTTAAATAGTTCTCTTCCACAGTTAATACTTTTGACCACACCACTTTCAGCCAACTGGTACAAGATGAGCGTTTGTTAAAACAAGAAAATTACAAATTTGATTATAAGGGCTATTCACGAAAAGGTAAATGGGAACAAGGTCATGGAAATAAGTCGTTGATTGCACTGTTAAATAGAAGTATAGACTCCCAGCTGATGACTGAATATTTGTGTAAAATGTTTTCTCTAGCTTCCACTTAATGTATTAATAAAGAGAACAAGACATTCCAACTGCCTTTGTAACATTTTGTTAATAGTTTTAAAAATTTAATTTGACAAATTTAAGTAATTTAACAGTTGATTCAAATGGGTACAAGATTAGTTCTTATTCATATTTGTACATAAAAAACAGCAGCTATATCCTGATAAAATTTTATATAATGGATACACTTTTACAAAAGTTAAACTACATTTGTTTTTTAGAAAACAAAAACACAAAATTAGATTCAGTAAGATCATCTACATCATAGGATAAAAACTAAAAGATTACAAATTAAAAATTAATTTTAATGAGAAATGAGACTACATCTTCCGCAAACAATTAATTCAATCAAATGTGTCTTGGAGCCAGTATCCTCAGTGGACCCTTAACATGATCATCTGACACTTTCTTTCCAACTTTTCACTTTCTTTTTACTAGATCATGAAGTGACTATTGTAATTACCATTGGTTTTTGAACTTCAGGTGTCACAGTATAGGAACTCGCATACTGTATAAAGACACACACAAACATAAATTCTCTGCATGGGATTTGAACACACAACCTTCAGGCACATGGCAGCTAGAGCCTTTCAGCCTTAGCGACCTTGACTATCCAGGCAGGCCATCAGCCAATGTCTGATGAACAATGACTTTGGGTCAGAAAATTGCTTCCATTTGATGCATTTTACATGTCTCCTCCATAGGAAAATTTTCAAAACTAGCAGGAGAGTTAACACAACATAAAGAGCAGTTCACATTCAAACAAAATAAGATAAATAGACAGAAGTTAGATAAAAAAGAAACAATTCTTCTCCACGAATAAGGGCACAAAGAAGCTGATTTTAAGGTAACAGGTGAAGCATAACTTTTCATTCTAGAATTTTAAGCAATTAATGTTAGAATATGTAAGACAGGATTAAGGGTAAATACTAATATTATATTTACCAATATGAAATGCCACCTAAAATGTAGAGCAGGAGTATGTGAAGTGTTAAATACTTGCAACAAAGTACCAAGATTTAATGCTCTACTCCTCATAGGGTTTTTAATATGTTGCTTAGGACCAGAATCTCTGGATTTATGTATTGCAGACAAACAAACAAACAAACAAACAAACAAACAAGTACTATGAAATATGCCTGTGAAAAGTAATGTATTTCAGCCTCTGAGTCATCAACCTCCATTTTGATCAGGATTTTCATCCAGTTTCCCTAATCCATTGAGCAAATGTAGAGATGACATCTTGTTTTGTTCCTGGACAATAAAGTATCTTCACTATACAAATGTTTTGTGTACTCTCATTTTGCTAGTTGAGGTAGGAGTAGAACCAGAGATGTGGGTTGCTATTTTGTTAGCAATACTATGCAAAAAATAGTTTGTGTAAGTTTTCTATTCCATAACTTGAGAACAAAAATTTCTAATTTTCAAATGTTAGTAACTTTGCTTTGTTGGTACTTTCATTCATCATTAAACTGTGTATAGCAAGATGATGGGGAAGAGATTCTGGATCAAACAAAACATAAGACATACAGTTTTTATGCATTTTTGAAGAAAATTATTTAATCAAATCAATCAAATAAGTGACAATTATTTGGAGTTAATACTATAATTAGCTTAATCTCTAAACTCACTCACACTCCAGAAATATTCTGGGTAACAATGAATTAACCATACTCTACTAAACAAAAAAGGAACTTGTGGAGGAGCCCAAATTTTGATTCCAACAATTTTCTTATAAGTTAAAAATTTAGGCTAAAAATTAATAGTGATAAGAATTGAATCTAAAATCAAGGAAAAAGAAAGATTAGCTTGAAGATTTTAAGGCAATAATTTAACCCAGTTCTTTTGCTATTCTCACAAAGCTCAGACTTGACTTATAAACAGTGTTACAAACTAAACCAGGAATTTTCAGAAGGTAGGTACTCTAGGAAATAAATGGCTTTAACTTAGCACTAGCTGATTTATGTAAACAAAGAAATAATGTGAAAATTTAAAACTTTAAGATGCCAATGTATTCAGATACCTATAAGTATTTGTCTTGCCCATCTTTGGATACACCATAATATAATATTTAATTCTTGAAAAGTATAGATATTATTATAGTATAATTAAATACTATCTTACAATTAAAAAAAGATAGTAGATGGTATAATGATTTTTAAGATATTTTTATTGGAATATTAGAAAAATTAATAAAATCCCAGGTATTAAGAATTCAGTGAAAACTGAATCCTTAATACACTTAAGATTCTTAAATGACGGAGAGGCTTTAAAAAGGAAAATATTGTAAAACAAGCTTTAAAAAATAAATTCAACTGCTTTCAATATTCTTCGGAATGAAGTGTACTTTCAAAACAGTCTTCAGATTGAAGAAGCTACAGTAAATAAACTGTAAAAAGAATAAATGCATTTTACTTCTGGAATTAAATTTTTAATTATTCTCAAATAATTGTTTTCACATTGAAATAGACAGAAAATAATTACACTAATTCATTTGCATCAATGAAAATACATGAAAATATTACAGGAAAATATTCTACATTTCTTGATACATTAAATGGAACATGTAGTTACCCTAAAATAGTATGAGTGTAATAATCAGTGCATAATGATCGCATTTGTGAATTTAATTGAATTACATTAATTTATTATAACATGAATTTTAAAAAAAACATTTTAAAAGGGTTTATTCAAGTTTATTCATATACTTTTGTATCCGGGCTATTGAAATTATTCAACCAATGATTCTTTTTCCTGGTAGAGTATTAGACCCTACCACCAACTTTCATGATCAGGATTCACTGCTATTGTATTCTGATTTCTGCCAATCCCAAAATTAAAAAAATATTCAATGAATAAAATACAGTAATATATGGTACTGAAATACATGGGGCAACATAGAGCAGACGTACTGTCAGAGACTGATCAAAAGAATGCTTAACTTAGGTACAATTTGAAACAGAAGCTTAGGAATCTACTATGAATTTCAATAAAGAACTAAGAAATGACTGCAGAAGCAGTAAGAATAATACTACTGACGAAAAATACCATTATGTGGGCTATACATTTTATACTAAATAATGAAATATATCACTTTATTTCATACTAGATAACAGCTAAAATCTAATAGGATGCAAATGGATTAATTATCAACAAAGATCCCTTACAAAATTTCATAATACTAGTCTTCCAAAACATTAACATAAGAGGGTAACACATTTTCAAAAAATTATTTCAATAATTTTTACTGATTTTTGGCTGTTTTTACTGCTTGCAAACATTACATGAACAACAACAAAAATTTATGGTCAACTATCTGAAATACACTGCATTGCTGGGTATTCATTTATTATAGTCATCTGTTAGGCACGAAGTGGCATGAATTCTGTCTGGGCTGTATCACAACCCTACCATGATGCCCGATCCCACCCTGCCCTGACCAACTCAACTTACCCAGCTCTACTCTGTCCCTCCACACACTGTCCTGCCATCCTCATCCTCCTGTCACACTTTATTTGCAACTATCATCATTTCTAACAACATCCATGTGATGAGCAACAGCAAGCTGATGCATTGTTGCATACTTCTGGCAAACTTCCAATAACAATTTTGTTCTTGAATTTCCCAAAGCCTTAATTTCACTATTGGCTAAATGCATTTGGTAGAAACTGGACAGGTTTTTAGAAATGTTTAATGAACCTTGATGGATTTTCTGGCCATTTTCAAGAATTCCGTGAAAACAGAAGAGTGCACTTTAATTTTTGCTTTCAGGGATAAAAAAGGAATGGATTTTTTGAAAATCTTATGTAGAAGTTTCTTTTCTCTTGTTTTGATGATCAAAACAAATACAAAATTTTCCTTCTGGTTAGAACAAAACTAAAACTGTATGAAAACTCAAAGTAATAATAATTATTCTTTTCAAGACAGAAAATAAAGATCTGAAAAATGTTGCCTGAAATAAGCCTAACAAAATATCCTACTTTTCAGTGAAAACCATATTAAAATCAAGTTAGCCAATACCAAGGTTAGCACAGACCCACAAAAACTGTTTTTCACATCTTGTAAATAAGTACATGAGATTATAAAAAATGAGTTATTTTGGATCATAGACACAGTCCAATTTTACTTATATTAATAAAACAAATGCATAAAGAGTTCAGGAAAAGAAACAGTTGTGGATCGATGGTATGAAGAAAACTTAAAAGAAAACTACCACGAACAATAAGATAAGAAATTTGTTTAGCTGTTACGAAAGAATATTCATTTCTTCTGCTGAAAGCTAACTTTTTTTGTACAAATAGAAAAAAATTATAAATTTCAAAATCACAAGAAAGTATTTTATCAGAACAATTGCAACAAGCACTTAACAATCAGAAAAAAATGAATTAAAAAATTGGAGATTTTTACGTCTGTATGCAGAGGAACATTACATGAAGAGAATGATAAAAAATAATAAAGTAAGAGCTGGAGTAGTTGCAAGGTTGACACTTCGGCTAAAGTGTAGTATACGGTACAACCTAAGGAAGTCGTTTAAACCGGCACTTCGCGCCGCTCCGGCGAAGGGGAAATCTACCGTGGAGGGGTCGAAGGGTGTTTAGGGGATTATGAGGAGAATCTTTCGGTGGGGGAGGAGTGGTGAGAAATATGCGTAACTTAGTACATAAATATAAAAAGCAAAGCGTGAGCGGTTTCGCCGGCGAGGCTGCCCAAGCCTTCGACGTGGGCGATTTAAATACTTTGTAAAAAAAATACACTTCTGAAATAATTTTAAAGGTTCGTAATTGATCACGGACGTTACCTCAAAAGTTACGGAGTGGGGGAAATTTTACCCCAATATCTTGTCGAAATTCATTCCGAAATGGTGTGTGGTGGCACGTAAACATGTTTTTGTCTACGTGATTTTCTATCGGAGTAGCTGTCGTACAGTTAAGTTTCTAGCGTTCTTCAGATTCCTTGTGATTTGTGTTTTTGAGTGTCGAGAGTGTGCTACGATAGTGAGAATAAATGTGGGTTTTTTGCGCATTGCGCCAAAGGGGGTGTTTGGCTGTCATTGAATGGGCGCAAGAACGTAGTTAGATTGCTGCAGGATTTGTGTGCTGGGTGTAAGTGAGCTATGAGGTTGACCAAACGAAAGAAGTTGTGTGATGGTTTCGAGTGAAAGTGTAGCAAGAAAGGGGCCACTCCTCATGTGCGGAAGGAGCCATGGTTTGCGGGAAGCAAGTTGAGTATAATTCAGGTATTAGTAATGACCTCTTTTTGGGTTATAAAACAGTCAGTCAAACCGCGATAAAAATTGCCTATCGGTAAGTTTCATACATTCCTGTCAGAGCGTTTAGCGTAATTTGAGGGAGGGCTAAATGAGACCCCTTCCCCTCTCCTCTCGTCACCACGCTTCTCTAAGGGTGTACCGTGTACCCTACTTTAACCGCCACTTCTAATAACAAAGTTGGCAGTTATGAGCAGAAGGAAACGCAGACTTCTTTCCCGGCAGTGCGAAAGCAAAATAATGGACTAGTGAGGAGGAAGATGGAAGGTTGGAATTGAATGATGGAAGAGAGAGAGGATGTATGTAGATAATTGCAACTTAATATCCAACAACCATATGCTTTACACCCACCACTCTCTCCAACTTAATGGCAGGTGCACAGCAGTTAAGCAAGATTTTAGAAGATTTGAACTGATACAAGTTATTAGCATCCTGTGCATGAGCCTACAAGGCTTTAGCAATCTTAATTATTTGACATTTAGCATGCCAGAGTTCCAAAACTGGCATACATGTTTCATTGAGGTTGTCTACATTAAAGAAACAAACAATATTCTCAATTTAATGCACAAGAAGCAAAAAACATTTCACAGAGTATTTGGTGTATGATAAAACATATGTCAGGCAGAAATATATTAATTTAGTTTAATCCCACATTAATACAGAAGAATGTTGGATGAGTTTCAAAACTTGCCAAAAGAACTGGAAATTCATTTTTCAGCTAGTGTGTGCACCTTTCTACATGTCAACACACATGACAGAAAAAAATCACATGTGTGTTTTTGATGTCAGGTCAGATATGAACACACATTAAGAATCCATGGCTGTCGTGAATGATAAAATAAGCAAAGGTAAATTATATAATCTTGAGATAAGCATTTGATTTTGTAATTGTGGAATAAAACAGAAATTCCTCTTAGTAGAATAATGCCCAGATGTCATAGAAGCTAATAAGAAGCACAGAAGGATATAAATTATTAGTGGATAACTTTTTTGAATTTTGTTTTTCTTTCTGTTGCAAAAATATTTTAATATAATACTTTTATATATTTAGATTAATTTATTTATTGCTCAATATTTTGTAAGTATTGTGTATGTTTTGAGGCAAAATGATAACAAATATTAGTTTCCATGTGACAAGCTTCAGAAATTTATTAATAAAAAGGCTCTTAAAAGCTAAAGAAAATTATTATTGTCATTACATGATTAAGTCTCTATGCATGGTGGTTCAATTGAATTATTGTAATTTAAAAGATATTTTAATACACACTTTTTTATTTATTAAACTTATTTAAAATCTATAAGAAATAATGATAATTCAACTTATAAAATCTTTTTTCATTCCAAATAGTTTTCACATATTGCATTTTCTTAAAAATGTACTGAATTGAGTAATCTTTTATCAACATTTTTTTATTGCTATACTTAATAAAAATAACTGAAATGAATTTCTTGAAAAGTGCAAATTATTGAAGATGCTTGAAGGAGAACATTCGGAATGACTTAAAGCACGCTATCTATAAACTTTACTAATTAAAGTATTACATATATTTATTAAAGTTAAAGATTGGATGATGTCTTTGTCATGAAGCCTTTTGTAACTTACCCTCATTTCCACTTCTCTTCCTAGTAAATCGTAAAGACCAGCACCTTTTATAGTGATCTGAGATGCTAATTGTCTTGCTTTTTTTAACTCGTGGACCTGCGCATGTTGCAAATCCAATCATTATTAATTTTGCATATCATTATTAATAATGCAAGTTTGTTCCTAATATTGTCATGAAAAATAATTGTAACAAAGAAAATTATGGTACCTTCGATGATATGTCAATGGGTGATACCATTTCTGAATTCTCCTCAGTTAAGCCAGCAGAATTTATTTTCAATGCATTATATAAAACAGTAGTTGCTTTTAATAATTCTCGAACAGCATAGCCATCAGCCTGATAGAGTTTCTTAGTGTTTAATTTAATATGGGACTTTGTCGCCTGGGTAAGAATGAATATCCTCAATAAATACAAAATTATTTAACATGAATGTTAATATTGTAATTTAGAAATCATACCATAAATTGTGCTGCTGATCGAATAAGCATCACTCTGTCCATTTCAGTGTCATAGTCAGAAGGAATGTCTGCATCTGGATCAAAGCGCTTCACCAGCCAGATAAGAATTTCTGCTACCAATGGAAAGTTGGGATTTCTAAAATTTTCCATTGATATTAGTCGAGTGTAACCCAATGCTCTCATCATTTCTGTAAAATCTAGAAGAGTGCATATAGATTGAGTGAGTTTAGACAAGTGTATTTATTTAGTGCATGATTGGTCTACCCATTTGTGCACTGCAGACTACCACGTTCATAGGTAATTTTTAAAATTAACACACTTACTCCTCACGTCTCTGTACGACATATTTTACAGATTATCGTGTTCTAATAATGACAATACTTTAAGTGTCAGTCGTATTTTTATATCATCCTCTTGTACAGTGCTTTGTACGCATGCCAACGAATGCGTCGTTCCAAACAAACACGTTGCCTAGCAACCGCTGTTGCCAAGGCCAACGTACCTTGCATCATCATGAGGACCACCACGAGGTAATGTTGGCAACAGGTAACAAATGAAGGTGGCCATTCAATATCATTTTAAAATTCACGAATGCAATTATTGCGAGAACTTTTTCTTTACATTAATGATTAAACGCAACACCTGATGAATAATGTTGAAACGCGATCATAATTAATTTGTAGTCTCATTGTAATACTTCTCTTAATTGTTCTACGTCAGTTCAATGTCAACGACACGAATCCACGTGACTGGCGGCTCCGGTGTACAGTTCATGACAGTGACGTTTCGGGGAGCCGCCGAACCGGAGCGGACAGAAGTTGAAAAGTGTTCTGTGAGTGGGTGTCATGGAATCGTTGGATGAACGTCCGCCGCGGAGGCGTTTTAAATCTACAGAAGAAATTGACATGTTAGATTCTAGCTGTGAGGATAATTGTTCTGAATGTGATAAACTCTGGGATGGATCTGATAATTCAGAAGACAGCCCGGCGGAGGTCAGCTTTTTTCTTTCATTTTAGTTTGATTTTTTTATTGTTTTGCTCAGTGCAGTGTGGAACAACTTGTATGAAATAATTTAACAATTAATGTGAGAACTACTGTGAACCATTGAACTACTTGATAATGTAAATAGCCTTGATTTTAAGTACTATTATGCAATGTCATGATTTTTTTTATTGTTGTTGACATTCTCAAATTTTAAGAGCTAGTTAAAATATATTTGCTGAAATGTATTGTATCAAAATGATATATATTAACACATTTAAAAAGTAAATGTCACACTATTTAAAGAGTTGTAGGAGATTTTAACGTTGATTGGGTCTTCACTGAACCATCAGTGATGCTGGTATGCAATAGTTGGTCGTGCATAAAAATCTTACATTAATATGCATGTATAAATAAAAATTTCCTATATTATTCATTTTCATTATACATTTAGACTACATGTAGATAACAATTTATTTATTGCTTCAACAAGATATTTGTGTATATTTATGAAAATTATTTAATGGAAAAAAAAACAGGCCATATGTAGTTGTATTCTTGTTGAATTCCAATAAAATGTTTATAGTTAATTGCCACTATAGAGATGAAAATTGTCTTATTTCATTAATATGCATAATTGAAGCAAAAAATGATTATTGCTAAATGACAATCAAATTGATTTTTTTTAAGAAGTTCTTAATTAAAAAGAAACCTTTAGTAATATGCGTGTTTTAACCATTGCTTTTTTCATTTCATAAAGGTTTTTTAATAATATTCCTTATCATACATTGAGTGTATTATAATATATATTTTTTTGTTCAACAGAGAAAACATTTTGTCAAGGTTCACTCCAGTTCTTTGGTGTTGGGTGGCGGGTTTGATGTTGGAATGTTTGACTAAATTTGCTATTAATATTACTAACAGTTGTGGGTGGTGGCAGATGATGGAAGGTACTTATTTACAAATAGAATATTAAGATGCATTTGTAGCAAAACTAAGGTAATGGGTATTTGTTTTCTCCTATTACTCTCTTCTTTTTTTTTTATTACATCTACTGTCAACTTTCATAGCATTTACTTGATTGTATGGATACAGCAATGGTACACTTGATGTATGTTCTATTGTATGTTATTCAATAAACATTATAATAGAGAACGATGGAAAGAAAGGGGAGCAAAACTGTATTTACTCACTTTAAGCAAAACAGATGACCCTTTCAGTATTTGCTCAATGGATGTAGGGAAACGTGAAGTAAACATCAGTTAGAGATGGGGGATCTAAGACCATAGAACTTTACAATACTTAGTTCAGGCAAATTCACACATTTCGGATTAACAAATAGCATAGAAATCACTAATGCATTAGAATTATTATTATAAAATTGACTTTTTCATTTGTAATAGCCTTCCTGGTGTAGTCTCTTATGCAGCAGACAAGAGTTGTGTTGTTTAATCATTTGAAAACTTGAGATTTCAAGCAGCATGACTGAACTGTGAAATATATCATTTTAGCAGTTTTGTAATGATTGGAAAAACATTCCAGCTTTCAAGGTGGACCTATTTCTATCAGAATATGTAAAATTAAATGTACCTCCCATGTAAAAAAAAATAATTAAAAACAGAAAGGCCTGTTTTAGAAATGAACTATTAGGCTTTTGTTATATTTTTGAAGTCGTTAGTTTTTTTTGTATACTGAAGGTCTCTGTTGAGAGCAGTTTCATAAAATAACCATAGGTGTGAACAGACAACAAGAGTGGGGGAGGCAACTATCTTATCTATTAAACATTGTTATTTACAAATGTAAATTTTACAAAAGAAAATATGACATTGTACTTCTGCAAAACTTTTTAGTTTATTTTTGTTACGTTTTTTGGGGCGAATGAAGGAGGCATCGACTCAGGCTTGGCATTTTTTCAAGGGGAGTTTCGTACATTTTTCGAGTTTAACTTATTTTCGGCCGACTTTTTTGACGCATTTTAAGTAAGGGAGGGAGGGAAGTTTTTTGGGCCACTTTTAATTGGTAGATTCGAAAGTTTCTTCTCGACTTTACCCTGAATTCATCCCTTAGTATACTGTTTAATGAACAATTTCCAATCTTTTGTTAGTTTTTGGAAAATTTAGGACATTTTTTCCCACATTTTTTGGTAATATGATTTCACGGAGTTTAAAAATTGACAAGTCATAGCCGCTCAATGTAATAAGTCAGTTGTATTTTTGGGAATTGAAATTAATTTGTTTGAATACTTGCAATTTTGCTATTACAAATGTCCAGTGACAATTTCAAGTAGCTGTTTCGAAAGTAAACTGTAAATAATCGGAAATATAAATTACATTGAAAATGCGTAATTATTTTGCTGTTTTTGTCAAATACGGGTATTATTTTGCAAACAATTAAAACCTTTATGAATATTAAAAGTTAATTTTAATGATTGGAAAGTAGAGAGTGGACGAGTTGTCTGCAGCACAATGTGTTCGGTCGTACAAGGAAGTAAAACGCAAAATCTTTCGAATTTTATATCCCCAGGTAATAAGACCGATATGAGGGGAAAGATCGAGATGGCCCCTTGTTTTGCTACTGGACAGTAATGTAACGTCACCCTCTGCACCCAAGACATTATATTGACTCGTCATTCACGATTGTAATTGTATTTGTAACTCAATAAAATAATAATAATAATAATAATAATAATAATAATAATAATAATAATAAAAAGAGAACAATACTTAAATGTGGATTTGAATTGACGATGTGGCCACTAGTTTGTTATGATCACTGTAAATGTTAAAACGCGTGTGCACGTGGCGTACATCATGTTTTATCAGGGATTCAATATATTTACGGAAAATATAATATTTTAGTGCGTAAGGCCCTTTTCGAAATGTTCCGGGAGGGCCATGTCCCTCATCCCTGCTGTGCGCGTGCTAATGTAAGTAACTAAATGCCTTGAGAGTGCATTTTTGAAGAGGGTAATAGGAAAATATGTTGTCTGTAATGCAAACATTGGTTTCATGTTTAAGTTGTCTTGCACCTTACATTAATGTTGTTTGTCTTAAAGCAGTAAGTTCACAAATTCACTGAAGATGTCAACTCACTGTGCCAGCACCCACGTAAAATTGTCCGCGTGTTGTCTCCCCAGTTCCCAAATTGTAACTTCCGGCATTTTATTGTCAGCAGGATTGCTGCTCGTATTCAGCATGCTTTGTAAGGGTAAGTGAAACTGCGTTCAACTTCTCGAAAGGGAATGCAATCAGCGCCAACTCCACGAATCAAAGTCACGAAACGAGTCAAAGAAGTAAGTTACAGAGTCAAACTCATTTTCAAAATATAAATCAAATCGTAGGAAACTCAAAAAGTACTAAAGTGTGTATGGAATTGCGGAAAAGTGTTGTGTGTTATCGTTATTCCTTTCCACACTTGGCCTTTGCGTGCGAGCGACGGTATGTTGCATCAGAGTCATTTCCAAGATAACAACTACAGTAACTTCCGAAGAGATTAATACCTATTACTTTAGAACCTTGTGGGAAGAGACATGAGACATACAATTTGAACTTCTATTGGCTCGAACTCTTAAGTGGAAAATACTCATACAATTTCATATCCTTTCCTCTAACCTTATCTCAATTTTTACTTTTCGCGACTTGACGTTTGATGTTTAGAATTATTCCGGCAAATAACATACCTAATTTCCTTTTTTCGAAGCCACCACAATGTGAATTCTCAACATTATCTCTAAAGTAAGTCGCCTTTCAAGCAAACGCAGCCTGTACACTAGACCAACATCCATATCACCTGGATGGAAAAAAAAAAAGAGAGAACCCAAAGGAGGTGAAAATGTTGAGGCTCACGCCTTGACAAATGCTGCACAGCTCACATTCTCCCGCTTGCCTGAACACGATAAGGACACACCCGATGCCTTATCCTATCCCTTACTAATGCACGTGAATAGTGACGGCAGATGTTCACTTTTCACAGATAAGCTGGGTTATTAAATAACTGCAAGTACATTATCTGGCTGTCCGGAATGGGTGTTTCCTTTCATATGTAGCGTCGTAATTGGTGTTTGAGAATGTGGTGAATGGAACCATGTCCGTCTGAAACAGTCGCCCGTGGTAAACTCAAAAGCCATCCGTCTCGCCGCTTGGGCAAATTTGTCGCTTCGACTTCTGACTTACTAATAGAAAAAAAAAAATCCTTAAAAACCGATATTTTTTCCCGCTAAACAATTTTTAAGCAGTCCTGTCGGGAAGAAAAAGTTTCTAACGTTAGAGCTCGGGACAGCAGAGTTTTAGCGGAGGGAAACACCCTTAAACTACTGATCACAACTCTAACAATGTTTTACGGTCGTAAGAAATTACGCTCACAGCTTTAACAATAGGGAGTTTTAGCGCCACGCGTAAGGTAGCAGCATTACGCACTAAGTCACGTGCCGGACTTTGAAGTCTTAGGCCTACGGTTCGACTTATACCTTCGTAAATAGAGCACGCCTGTAGGAGTCTACGGTCACCTTACAAGCAGAAAAAATGGCCGCCTAAAACAGGAAAAGTTGAACTTTTCCAACTCGGATAAACCGATTCTCGTTCGTGAAGCAGTTACAGTTATGCTTTACCAACTCCACATCGCTGGTAACAATTAACGGGATGTGTTGGAGAGGTGACAGGAAAGAAATTCGCGAAAAAGAAGTTCATATCTCCGGGATAGGTTATGTCTCCTTACACAGTGTATATTTGTTATTGTGTTGACTCGGTACGTTGTTTTAAATATCTCACCACTAGCCTAAACTCTTTGATATATTATACAATTTCTCTGTTTAACGTTTGAAATGCTTCCTTTGTTTTAATACATAACCCAACGTCGTAATTGCTAAAACTCTTCTGAACGTTGTTCATTACGACCGTATAAAGGCGTTAGTCTCGTGATCAATAGTTAAGTCTCCTTACGCCTGGCACTAAAACTCCCTAATAATTGCGATATTGTTTTGTATTTAAACAAAACAATTTCAAGTATTGAACAA